TGAATTTTATCAAATGCCTTTTCAGCATCTATTGATACAATGATATGATGTTTTTTCTCCTGAATTTGTTGATGTCTTGATTATAAAGGGACCACTGTCATATTTCTGCAATAATTATAGTAGGATATTATTTTTCACATGTGGCTGGACTCTGTTGTCTACATTGTTGTTTTTTTTTTTTTTAAATTCAGAATTATACTTTTAAGTGAAGTCGGTTTACGGGTATATTTTATGTGCTAGTACCTTTACTAGATTTGGCTTTGTGTTGTTTTGACCTAAAAATGGCTTGGAACTTTTTTTTGTATTTTTCTATGGTTTGATATTAGTAGAATAATTTTTTTTAAAGATTTTATTTATTTCTTTGACATAGAGAGATCACAAGTAGGCAGAGAAGCAGGCAGAGAGAGAGAGAGAGGGAGGGAAGCAGGCTCCCTGCTGAGCAGAGAGCCCGATGTGGGGCTCGATCCCAGGACCCTGGGATCATGACCCGAGCCAAAGACAGAGGCTTTAACCACTGAGCCACCCAGGCGCCCCATAATTTTTTTTTTTTTAAGATTAAGAATCTACAGAGAACCCAGCTTGTCTTGGTATCTTTTTCTATAGTAGGTTTTTAATTATCTTTAACTTATGGTGTTTGGTTCTACTCAAGAATTCATTTCTCTTGGGTTAATTTTGATATTTTCTATTTTACTGGGAAATCATCTTCTCTTTTAGGTTTTCAAATTCCGCCACGCAATTGCATTTGTGTGTGTTATTGTTATTGTTTTTTTTAGTTTTGTCTTGTTTCTTAGTTATCTCCTATGCTTATGGTTTTCTCTTTTATTCTGAATCTTGTAAGTCTCTTTCCGCACCTTGTTTAACCCACTCACTAGACTGAGTGATTATTTCATCATCATTCAAAGGGGTGCCTTTTAGATTTATTTATGTCCTCTATACTTTTTTTATATTAGGTTAATTTTAAATATCTCTTAGTTTCTTCTTCCTAGTTTATTTTTTTTAAATTTTTAAAAAGATTTTATTTATTTATTTGATAGAGAGAAAGACATAGGGAAAGAGGGAACACAAGCAGAGGAGTGGGAGAGGAAGAAGCAGGCTTCCTGCCAAGCAGGGAACCCAGTGCGGGGCTCCATCCTAGGACCTTGGGATCATGACCTGAGCTGAAGGCAGCTGCTTAACTGACTGAATCACCCAGGTTCCCCCTTCCTAGTTTATTTTGATATATTTTATTTCTTCTCTTATTTCTTTTTTACAGAGTATTTTTCTCCCTTGCCTTTTAAAAAAAAATTAAAATTCTTAGAGCCATAAATTTACTTGTAAATATAAATTTTATTGGATCACATGGATTTTAATTATTTTTATTATATTTTTTTGTCATAGCTTACACATAAAGCATAATTTCCCTTTTGATTTCCTATTTGATCCAAATATTATCAAGTGTCATCTCACAGTTTTTACAGAAAGAAATTGTTGTAATTTTTTTTCTTAATTTTTGAGGTATATATCTCTGAAATAACTTAAAACTTCCATTATGACCATGTTTAGGATCAGTCATGGTGATAAACTTAGGAAAAAGTACCTCTTTTTTGTTAGAGGATTACAAGGTATCTTTTAAAAATCATATTTATTAATAATATAATTAAATTTGTTATTTTCTTCTTTCCAACTATATTTGTCCATTCTAGAAGGTATGCTGAAATTACTCAGTATATTTGTATTTTTAAAAATAAATTCATTAAAGTTCTAATAAGTTTTACTTTATTGCCTGCTATGTTGTTTGGTATATACAGTTTTTTAACTCTTACGATTTAATCATAAACTGTGTATTTTATAATTGTATAAAATTTTTCTTTATCCTGGTAAGTACTTTTGACCTTAAAATTAAACCTTGACTGATACATGTTTCTTTGCAGTAATCTGAAAACAAAATATTCTTTTCCCCCCAAAGATGCTAATTGCTTTCTCTGTTGGCTTCTTGACCTTGAAGAGAGGAGACCTTTAGAATACTTTTATTTTCTGCCTCTCTTCCTTTTTCCCCTTATCCTCTTCTTCCTCATGAGATCTTGGAAGTATTTTTACTTCTGCCTACCTTCAACTCACCTGTCTGCAACTCTTTTACTTTGAATAGTTTAGAAATGTATTGAAATGTTTTTATGATACAGTCTTTTGTTTCAAGAGTCTTTATCATATAAGTTATCTGTTCCTAGACATTTGGTTATTATTTAACTGTGTATTATATAATATAAACTGAAAGTTTCATTGATTACAATATTACTCTTCTTTTTCATCTTCCCTGTTACCACATCTCTTTTTCTGGTTTGTTTTTTCTTAGTTAGAGCCCTTTCTCGGTTATGTTTCTTAACTGGGGTGCCTGAGAAAATATACTCTGAATTTTTGCATATTTGCGGTTTTTTTCATGTATCAAAATGTAAGCTTGGTTGGCACAGGATTCTTTTGTCTCTGTTGTCTGTAAATGTTCCTTAACTCTATTTTTAAAATTATTTTTTTAAAGATTTATTTATTTTAGAGAGAAAGAGCATGCATGCCAGGGGAGACAGCAGTAGTGGGTAAGGGAGAGAATCTCCAGCAGACTCCCCACAAGCACAGAGCCTGAGAGGTGGGGGGCTTGATGTCATGACCTTGAGATCACAACCTGAGCCTAAATGAAGAGTCAGACACTTACCAGACTGCACTACCCAGGCACCCCTCTCTTTAAAGTACAAAAAATGAAGAGGCCAATGAGGAGCTGATTCTTTAACCTTTATAGGTTACTTGCTTTTTAGAGCTGGGTGCTTGCTTTTTTTTTTTTTTTTTTTTTTTTCTTTTTAAGTTCAGATTTATTTTTTTAGGTTTTTGTTTTTTTTTTAAATATAGTTGACACACAATATTCATTAGTTTTAGGTGTACGACGTAGTGATTCAGCATCTCTAAATGTTACACTGCGCTCACCACAAGTGAGAATTCATAGCACCACCTTACTTCCTTGCTCTTCTGTCCTTAGAATATTTTAGTTCTGTTGAATATTTAAGTCTGTTTATATCCATAATGTAAATAACATAAACTCAGTGATTTGCAGTTACACCAGTCTGTATCAGTGACTTAATCTCAATTTCCTCACCTGTGAAATGAAGGTTTTGGTAATTTACTTCCTAGATTATCTGATTCAGTTGTACCATAGTCATCACATTTGCGAATAAAGGTCAGGATTACTATGAAGCATTTATCAGTCTTCCACATATTGTAGAAGTCTTCCCTTTCTAGCCCATGTATTTCTCATGCATATATGTAAAAGGCTGGCTACATAGGTCTACTTAATCCCTAAACATACCTCATCGTCTCCTTTAACTGTTCCTTCTCCCTGGAATCTTCTTCCACTGATTCTCACCTTCCTTCACACCTTGGTTTGGTGGAAGTCTTATTTCTGATCTTCAGATAACAGCTGAGATCTCACTTTAACAAGTCTTCCCAGTTCTCTCTAGCCTAAATTAATCTCTAAATTGTTACTCTCATAAACCTTGTATTTTCAGTCTTATCACATTATGCATTTTATTATAGAGGTATGTGTGTGTAATTTTTATTTGACCTTCTTCTATAGTTTAATATGTCCTACACTACTGGGACCATATCTTACTGTTATTATGAGTTTGTGCCTATATCAGGGCAAGGAGATATTTATATGTTTTAACTGAATTTGAGCAAGAATGAGAAATTTATATTGGCCAGTAATCAGTTTTGTGGTTTAGTTTTGATATTTTGGGAATCAGCAACACTTTCAGTAGATTTTCCTTGTACTTTATATCTACCTTTTTTTAGGACAGGTATTTCTTAAGTCAGCAAGAAAATTAACTACAACAGGAACTTCATTAAAGCTACAATTTAGGATATGCAAATGTGAAAGATTTCTAACTTTACCCTGTACATTTCGCATATATCATTAGTCACTGTTAGACACTTTGGTCTTGCTTAATATAATTCAGTGCTAAATGTGTATTTTAATGTGAGAGTTTTGACATCAACATTTTTAACTTTTGTGTAATTTATAATCTTAACTTTGAATTAATGGAAATTGTTGCTTCTATAGATTATGGTTTGAAACTGCTAATAAGTTCAGTAAGTAATACATGTTCTTCAGCTCCTAAGCTGTGAGTAGTAGATTTCATTTTTTTGTTAAAATCTATGTCTGAATTGAAAGGGGTCATAGGGTCTGAATGGTGAATAAAGCAGTAGAATACTAATCAGAAGACAGAAGTACTGGACTCACTCTATTATTAACTTACACTGTGCTCAGTAATCTAAAGTAACATGGACACTAATCTCCCTTTTAAATTGGTAATAATAGTCCCTGCTTCTTGATAGCCTGTGAAGTGCTTTCATCACCATTAAAAAAAAAAAAGTTTTAACTTCTTGTAGCTCTTTGAAGTAGTTATTGATCATCCCTATTTTATAGATGCAGAAATTAGGACTTAGAGAAATTAAGTTACTCAAGATATTAAGTACTATTATACTTGGAACTAGACCCCAGAATTTACCCCACAGTTAAGACTTTTAGCTGTAGTCATTTTGTGGTGGGTTTTTTTGCTTATAGGGTGCTGCATAAGTGCACTGTTAACTATTATCAAACAGTTTTCTCAAATGTCTCAGTAATATATACATTCCATCACACATTTATATCTTTTTCCCTGGGTGATGTCTGATAACATTAAATATCAGGAGTGTGATTTTATTACTTTTTCCAAGTGAATAATTGTGAAAGCTATCAATATTTTTTTAATCAGGAGTGTGATTTTATTACTTTTTCCAAGTGAATAATTGTGAAAGCTATCAATATTTTTTTATTTTTTAAATTTTGCTTCAAGCCAAGATTTCATCTTAAAAATACAAGGTAATTTTAAAAACATGGTTAGCTGATGTTGACTGTTAATATCTTTTAGTTATATAGTTAAAATTTTTAATCAACATTTGATTAATGAGTATTTCTGAATTTTTCTGTCTTTATTCTACAGAATGGTTAATAACGCTGATCATCTCTAGGAAGGATATTGATTCACCTCATGTAAAGTATGCTCAGTTCCTTTCCAGTGGTGTAAGTATCTCGTCCATTTCTTAATTTTTATCTTCCCAATTGTTTTTAATACAGTGAAGAAATCATTATGATTACAATCCAAAAAATGACAGCAGGGATTCATAGAGTTGAAAGAATTTTTTCATAATCATAGTGGAAAGGAATAAATTTTCAAATCTATGAACTTTCTCTTTTACCATTTATTTTCAACTTTGATGTCTGACATTCAGTTCTAACATAAAACTACTAATTATGTCAAACTTATTAATAGGTTAGAAACTTACAACATAGGGGCACCTGGGTGGCTCAGATGGTTAAGCATCTGCTTTCAGCTGAGGTCATGATCCCAGGGTCCTGGGATGGAGCCCAATTGAGCCCGAGTCAGGCTCTCCGCTCAGCGGGGAGTCTGCTTCTCCCTCTGCTTGCCCATCCCCCTATCTCTGCTCATGCTCACTCTCTTTCTTTCTCATGTGGAATAAATAAAATCTTTAAAGAAAAAAGAAGCTTCTAAAAAAAAAAGAAAGAAAAAAAAAGAAAAAAGAAGCTTATAGAATAGATGGCTAGCTACTGTTAGATTCCTTGTGACAGGCAGAATATTAGAAGCATGTTACCCTAACCCTGCCTTTGTGTGCAAACTCCTAAGCACCTTGGCCATTTTCCTTTACCTCCTGGATATAATAATGTAGTTAAGCCTATTTGCTAATGTCATTGGTAGCCTTTCTTTGGAGTCAGGCAAAAAATACAAATGGAGATGGTGGTATTATGTTGAGAGTTTTTTGTGCTAGGATATGAACTGTAACCACTAGTTCGTATTAAATAGGCCCCTGAATAAAAGTATTCCGGGAATTTCAGATATTAGAGAAGATAAAGTATCTATTAGCTCATTAAGTGCATCTTTAGAGTCTAATGCAGAGTGCCTTTAGCATAAGTATTTTCTAAAATTTGGCGCTATGTTTCGATTAAATTTCTTCCATTTTGTTTGACAGTTCTATAATCCAGTAAGTAGACGTTAACATAGATTTTCTTTATTATTTGGGTTTTTCATTAAAGTCTTTTTCTCTTTCAAAAAAAAAAATTTTTTTTTTCCTCTCTCACTGACTATCATATATCAGAAAGTCTCTGAAATTAGGCCCAGGTAATGTGAACTGTAGCCTGAGTTTCTACTAAATAGCTGTATCCTTGGGAAATGGCAAGGCACTGCATGCTTTGGGCCTTAGTTTCCCTTTTTTTTTTTTTTTTTTTTAAATGATGCATTTGCTAGTGGCTGTTTTTAATAGCCATTAGAATGTAAGCGTCATGAGGCCAGGAGTTTTTGCCTGGCCTTGTTGCACCCTTTTTTTCCAAGTACATGGTCTGACACATAGGGTATATTCAGTAAATGTTAGTTGAATGAATGACTTTTTCTCAAAATGGTGTCCAGTTTTCTGATTGCACACCTACTTTATATTTCCCTCTATAAACTTGCATATTTTGACTTGGATTTTTTTTTTCCTTGAACATGTGTAAGGTGGCTACAAGAAGAAAATTTCAGTCTTCATCAGTGTTAATTTAAAAATAACTGTTATAAAGTGTGATTGGCACATTGGAATATAATCTCATTTTTCTCAAAGTCTTTTTATTATGAAAAGAACATCTTATATTGTCGTTTGTAGTCATAACCTCTATTCTTTTGTTTTAGTCAGTTCTCCTATTGGTTTGAATTACAGAATCATCTTAATCATACTGTTGAGCTCAGTCCCCAGTAAATCTTCATTTCTTACTTATTCTCACTTCTTATCATTTTTAAGCTTTAAGACTTACACTCCTTTGTTGGTAATAATAATTGTGAAAGAGGTTAATGTGCCATAAATAGTAAGAAGAGCCCGAGTACATCTTTAGTTGATGAATATTATGATTAACTCTAGAATGCGTTAAATCATTATTCAGTAAATACCAAGTATGTGAAACAAAACAAACTTATGAGTATGTCGTATTTTGCCTAGTCATTCTAGATAAAAAGATAGCAAAGAGAATCAAGCTGAAGAAAATGCTAAACGCAGTTATTTTAATAAGATCTTTGTAACTATTAATGCTTTACAAGTAAGGTAGTAATGTCATTTTTGCACAGGTAATTTCAAGATTAATTATATGTAAATGCTTTAACCTTCTTTGCTCTATATGTTTGTAAAATTTAGTTTAAGTAAGTGTTCTAGACCAGATGCCGATCTAAGAAGGGTTTAGGTACAAATCCAAGTAGGGATAAAATTGATTATAAAATAGGTTTACTATTATGGTCCGATAGTATGGTCTTTTGGAATATCAGTTTATGAACTGAGCCATAATTCCTGAATTTAATTGTTCTTTTATGCTTTAAACATTGGCTGTGTTATTGCAGTGTCAAAATTCTTCTCACATCATTTTCAATTATTGTTGGCCTGAGTCTGCATTCAGATTAGTGATTTAAAGTGAAAGATGTTCTTTATCCTGTGAACAGTTCTTGTGCTATATAAGAAAATTAATTCAGTTTTTACATGTTATCTTTTTCTGTTATAAAAGAATTGCTGGTATCATGGACTTAGATGACCTTTGTATGTCATTTACTGCCATAATTTCAGGATTACATGCTTAAACTAGGTAAGTTATGAAAAACAAAGTGTAGAAATGAGAGGCTGTACCTTTGTTTATGTTAATGCACATTGAGATACTATTCTTGATATCCAAGAAAACTTCTAATCTTGGTATTTTCTCAGTGAAATATAGTACATTCAACATCATATGCATGATTTGATCCTGGTCATTATGCCATTATCATTCTACTCTGTAGTGATCATACATTCCAACTTAGCAATTGTAGATCTTTTTACATTAGATATATCTTTGTACTAGGGACTCTCTTGGTGCAAGGCACAAACATCCAGTTTAAACAAGTGTAGCATAAGGGGAAATTTTTGCTCTTACATAGCAAGAAGGACAGAGATGTGGCAGGGACTCAGGAATTATTAGAACAGAGTATGAACACTGCAGAGCTTTCTCCTTTGTTTGTTTGTTTTTGCTTTCTCCTTTGTTTTGCATTTCCTGCCATGTCTGCTTTATTCTCCTAAAAAGTCACTTCTTTCACATGGTGAGGAACCTGTCAGACTAATATCTTTCTGCAACTGAGCACGGTTATAGTGACTATCCATTTTCCTCCTGATCTAACCTAAATATTTTAAGGAGGGCAAGGCTTAGCTTCCTTGTGTACCCATCCTTTTGGCCAGGAGGTGGGGTATTACTAGTGGCAATACCAAGAACATAGAGTTGGAAACAGTGAGACACTCTAGGCAGAAAAAATAATACATATGTTCTGTTATCTCCTTTTAGGACTTTTGAAATAAAAGTGTTTCCCATAGTGAATCTGAAATGACATAAAATACTAACTTGTTCCAGATACTGTGGAATCATTAGTTTTGATACTTATAATACAAGCTTAGGATGGTACTTTTCAATAACAGGTTAAATTCATATAAAGTTTATTTTAGTTTTATGCTTTCAGAGTGCTGCTCCATACGGAAAAAGGCTTAAGGAATTATATACAGGTACTTCCTGCTCTGATATAATTGGAGAGGGAAATAAATAGGAAAAAAATCAGCTTTGATTTTTTTTGTCCATATGATAAAAACAGTTTATGAAGTCTCATTTAAACTAAGGTCAGTTTATGAAGTATTTTGAAAGCATTAAGACTGAAGTTAGCAAAGGACAGATCTACTTTATTCACAAGGGCAAAGAATAATGTTTAGAAACCTCAACTTAATAAGTCAGTAAATTCAGGGGTAAATTATTTCAATTACTAAAGAGATTGGGCAGTTACATGTATTTATTTTTTAATTTTTTAAAAGATTTAAAAAATTTGTTTATTTGAGAGAGTGTGTGTGTCACAAGCAGGGGGAGGGGCGGGGGGGGACAAGCAGACTAACCCCTGAGCAGGGAGCCCAGTGTGGGGCTTGATCCCGGAACCCTGGGATCATGACGTGAGGCAAAGCTAGACACTTAAGTGACTGAGCCACCCAGGTACCCCTGTTTTTTAATTTCTAATATTAATTCCAGTATAGTTAACATACAGTGTTGTATTAGTTTCATATATACAATATATACAATATAGTGATTCACCAATTCTATATGCTACTTAGTGCTCATCATGCTGTGTGCTCTTAATCCCCTTCACCTATTTCACCCATCCCTCACCCACCTCCCCTCTGGCAGTTTATACTCTATAGTCGAGTCTGTTTTTCTGTTTGTCTCTTTTGTTCTTTGTGCATTCGTTTTGTTCCTTAAATTCCACATGAGTGAAATTATGGTATTTTTCTTTCTCTGACTTTTTTCACTTAGCGTTATACTCTAGTTCTGTCGATGTGGTTGCAAATGGCAAGATTTCTTTTGTTTTTTTTTAAATATTTTTATTTATTTATTTGACAGAGATCACAAGTAGGCAGAGAGACAGGCAGAGAGAGAGAGGAAGGGAAGCAGGCTCCCAGCTGAGCAGAGAGCCCGACGCGGGGCTCGATCCCAGGACCCCGGGATCACGACCCGAGCCGAAGGTAGCGGCCTTAACCCACTGAGCCACCCAGGCGCCCCGAGATTTCATTATTTTTATCACTAATATTCCTCTCTCTCTCTCTCTCTCTCTCTATATATATATATATATATACACATACCACATCTTCTTTACTCATCTAACAGTGGACGCTTGGGCTGCTTCCATAATTTGACTATTGTAAATAATGCTGCAGTAAACATAGGGCTACATCTATCTTTTGGAATTAGTGTTTTCATTTTCTTTGGGTAAATACCCAGTAGTGGAATTACTGAATTATAGGGTAGTTCTATTTTTAATTTTTTGAGGAGCCTCCATACTATTTTCCACTGTGGCTGCACCAGTTTGCATTCTCACCAGTGGTGCACACAGATTCCTTTTTCTCCACATCCTCACCAATACTTCTTGTTTCTTGTATTTTTGATGTTAGCCATTCTGATAGGTGTGAAGTGACATCTCATTATAATTTTGATTTGCATTTCCATGGTGATGAGTGATGTGGAACATCATTTCATGTGTCTGTTGGCCATCAGTATGTCTTCTTTAGAAAAATGTATGTTCAGGTCCTCTGCCCATGTTTAAATTGGATTATTTGGGGGTTTTGTTATTAAGTTGTGTAAATTATTTATATATTTTGGATACTGACCCTTTATGGGGTATATCATTTGCAAATCTCTTCTCCCATTTAGTAGGTTATCTTTTAGTTTTGTTTCTTTTGCTGTGCAGAAGCTTTTTATTTTGATGTAGTCCCAATTGTTTATTTTTGCTTTTGTTTCCTCTAACTTAGGAGATACATCCAGAAAGATGTTGTTATGGCCAATGTCAGAGACACTACTGTCTGTGCTCTCTTCCACGACTTTTATGGTTTCAGGTCTCACATTTAGGTCCTTAATCCATTTTGAGTTTACTTTTGTGTATGGTATAAGAAAGTGGTCCAGTTTCACTCTTTTGCATGTAAAGTTGTTCATTTTTCCCAACACCATTTGTTGAAGTGATTTTTTTTCCTATTGCATATTCTTGTCTTCTTTGTCAAAGATTAATTAACCACGTAATCATGGGTTTATTTCTGGGCTTTCTATTCTGCTCTATTGATCTCTGTATTTATTTCTGTGCCAGTACTGTACTGTTTTGATTACTGGTGATTTGTAGTGTATCTTGAAGTCTGGGGTTATAATACTTCCAGTTTGGTTCTTGTTTTTCAAGATTGTTTTGGCTATTTGAGTCTTTTGTGGTTCCACACAAATTTTAGGATTATTTGCTCTAGTTTTGTGAAAAATGCTGTTAGTGTTTTATTAGTTATTGCATTAAATCTGTAGGTTGCTTTGGGCAGTAAGGACATTTTAACAGTGTTGGTTCTCACAATCCATGAGCATGTAATATGTTTCCATTTGTTTTTGTCATTTAGCATCTGCTTTTTAAGAGAAGTTCCTAGGATTTGGATTTAGTATATTACTAAGCACTGATAGAGCAGATAAATGGCTAAAGATTGTAACAGAAACTAAAATATTAAGTGTCTCTTATAAGCCCCTTGGAAAATGTTCACATAGCTTTTACAACAAACTTTATTTAAGCCTAATATACCTCCTGAAAAACGCACAAATCAGTAGTCAGTGCTTGGTGGATGTTCACAATGAATATACCAGTGTAATATAACTAACATAGAACACAGAACATTACCAGCACTGCATAGCATTTTAATAATAGACCATTTATGTTAAGCCAGGTGTATTGTTCTTTTGAAATGGGTCAGGAGAAAAAAATAAATGAGTTACTCTGGTTGTAGTTTTCTCTTCTCCCCCAATTAGATGACATAGTAGGGAGGGGGATATATTAAGCTAACAAGTAGTAAAGTATAATTGTAATAGGCAAAGAATTTAAAGATTTATTTATTAGTTTGAGTTAGAGTACGAGTTCATGTGCTGAGAGAGGGGCAGAGGGAGAGAATCTTCAAGCAGATTCCTCGTTGAACCGGGAGACTGACATGGGACTTAACCCCACAACCCATTAGATCATGACCTGAGCCAAAACCAAGAGTTGGATGTTTAACTGACTGAGCCATCCAGGTGCCCCATAGTCAAAACATTTAGAATAGCTAATGACTGGAAACAGTCCATGTGTCTAAAATAGGAATAAACAAACATGTAGTATATTCCTATAATGAAGTAGTAATAAAATGGAACAAACTACAGATACACACTACATCGGACGTGAATCTCAAAAACTTTATGCTGAGTGAAAAGAGTACATAGAAATTCCCTTTATAGGGGTGCCTGGGTGGCTCAGTGGGTTAAGCCTCTGCCTTCGGCTCAGGTCATGATCTCAGGGTCCTGGGATCGAGCCCCACGTCAGGCTCTCTGCTTGGCAGGGAGCCTGCTTTCCCCTCTCTCTCTGCCTGCCTCTCTACCTACTTGTGATCTCTCTCTCTCTTTCTAAAAAAAAAAAAAACATTCCCTTTATATAAATTTTTAGAACAGGGAAAACTAATCTGCGTTGGGAAAAATCTGAGCAGGGTTCCTTGTGAGAGAAGGGGCCAAGGATTAACTGGGAACAGGACACTTCTTGGGATGGTAGTAATATTCTGTATCTTCATAGGCATTTTCACAAGTTATATATTTCTTTTTTACAGCATGTACTTCTCAAAACTCATAGAATGATAAACATAAGATTTGTGTATTTTCTTTTATGTAAATTTTACCTCAAAAGAAAAAACCTACAAATACTGAGTTCTAGTTAATAAAATGCATGTGGAAGTGTTTAGGAGGGAATATACAGATGTCTGTACCTGATTTTAAAATGCATAAAAATAAGATGAATATAGGTATGGATACATAAGGGAAGGGGTAGTTAACGTTATAAAGCAAGTAAAATGTTAACAGTAAAATATAGTATGTGACTGTTGACTGCAAATTTCTTTTAGTTTTTGTGTATGTTTAATGTTTTTCATTATAAAATGTTGGAGGAAAAAAACCCAGGCAATCAAGAAAGAATGTAAAAATCATGAAAATAGGACTTGTATCATGGATAGCTTGTCACAGTGAGTATTGGAAGAAAGGAGAAGATGTGACCTATGACCACAAATGGCTTGCAACATGTTATTTGTGGTCCGCAGAATGTGTTTGTTTTTATTTTTAATTAGCCTGTCTCTACAAGTGGAGATTTCACATAAAAATTCTAAATTTTTGCCTGCTCATTTTTAGAAGGATTTGAAAGGCAACACAATCAGTGGAGTAGAATAGACAATCCAAAGGTAGATAGAGATTTGTGTGAAAATTCTGTATATGAAAAAGGTTTTATTTCAGATTAGAGGAGAAGAGATGTATTACTCAGTAAAGCCACCTATGCAATTTTTGGAAAAATTTAAAGCCCAAATCCTTTCACACTCATTAAGTAAATATAAATTCCAGATGGAGCAAAGATTTAAATTTAAAAAACCTATTTCTAGGACCTCAAGTCCATCAGTAGAGTGATTTTATCCAAGTGGTTTTAACTGGAGACTTAAAAGAGTTCAATAGCCTATATCCCAAATCATAGATTCCAGTAAGTCCTGCTATATGTTGGAAAACAGAATAATATATGCTTTTGTAGTCAGTAAGATCTAGGTTTAAATCTTTTTTCTACTCTAAATCAGATTTTTTGCAAGGTACAGAACCACTCAGACTTCGTTTCCTCAATGATCAGTCAACTAATATGTGTTTTAAAAGTCTGCCATAGGGAGTTGTGAGGATCAGATAAAATTACATTCTATGAAACTCTTGCCTAATGCCTGCCTAGAAGTGAATGTTCAGTAAATTTTTAATATAGAGGGTTGAAGAAACAGACTTTGAACAGCTGTGGGGAACTGACCCGGAACTGATGTTTACATGTAAAGGATGAGAAAATTCCTTCCATTAGGAAACATTTATTAAGAACTTACTGTATGCCATGCATCCTTTTGGCACTTGAACTATAAAAATAAAAATCTTTTAAAAAAATCTTAAATTAGGAAAGTCAGGTTTTATAAGAAAGGAATTCAAATAGTGAGAATTTTTAAATTTGATAATTTACTTAAAATTAATATTGTTATAACGCTGACATTTTCTGGCATGCTAGTTTCTTGTGTTAGTTAAAGGAAACATGATATGGAAGGAATTTCCCAAGAAAAATGAATAGTTTGGCTACAACCATGAAAGATCCATTTCTCAGGATAGCTATTAAGAGAGAATGCATTACAGAGATGAGATACTAAATGAAATTGCTAAGTGGGGGATGAAATGGTACTTAGTAAGTTTTTTTATGTACCTTCTTTTCCATTTAAATATTTTTGCTGGTTATTAGTATTTGCCTGGGTTTACCTTACGAAGTCATTTGTTTATAGTAAATGAAGATAACAGACTTCTTAGGTTAGTTTTGCTGATATTTAGTAAAACAAGATAATATAAACTGCTTTTGCAACAATTTTTCATTAATGGTACTCTACTGTAATGAATTTGAGATGGAAAAGCCACCTATGAGTAATCACAATTAGGCTAGGATTAAAAGTGTATGTATCTAATCTGCTGTTTTGGGATTATTGCCATAACTGAAATTTTGGTTCAGATATTTACCAAATTGAGGAAAGTATAAATTTTATGCCATATGCAATTGGGTTTTGGGGCACCTGGGTGGCTCAGTGGGTTAAGCCTCTGCCTTCGGCTCAGGTCATGATCTCAGAGTCGTGGGATTGAGCCCTGCGTCAGGCTCTGTGCTCAGCAGGGAGCCTGCTTCCACCTCTCTGCCTGCCTCTCTGCCCACTTGTGATCACGAGCTCTCTCTCTCTCTCGTCAAATAAATAAATAAAATATTTAAAAAAAAAAAGAAATTGGGTTTTATGTTACACCTAATGTCCGTCTGCTAATAAACTCAGTAACTATATCAGTTTGCCATGACAAAAACATTTTAGCATGGAGTGATAATAACTGTTATTATAATTATTAATTAATTAATAATGTGTTAATCATTTTCAGTAAAGAAATTGATGTAGAAATATTTTGCATCTTCTCCTGAGCATTCGCTGTAATTCTCTCTTTGATACATGCTGTAAATAAAAGGTTTTGTTTTTTGTTTTGTTTTGTTTTAGTTTGCTGGAAACCATGTCTCACTATACAGATGAACCCAGATTTACCATAGAGCAGATAGATCTGCTTCAACGCCTTCGGCGTACTGGAATGACTAAGCATGAAATTCTCCATGCCTTGGAAACTTTGGACCGTCTTGATCAAGAGCATAGTGACAAGTTTGGAAGAAGGTCCAGCTATGGAGGAAGTTCTTATGGGAATAGTACCAACAATGTTCCAGCATCTTCCTCCACAGCTACAGCTTCCACACAGACCCAGCATTCTGGAATGTCCCCATCTCCTAGCAACAGTTATGATACCTCCCCACAGCCTTGCACTACCAATCAAAATGGGAGGGAGAATAACGAGCGGTTATCCACATCCAATGGAAAGATGTCACCCACTCGATACCATGCAAACAGCATGGGTCAGAGGTCATACAGTTTTGAAGCCTCAGAAGAGGACCTAGATGTAGATGATAAAGTGGAGGAATTAATGAGGTTAGTTCTTTTGCTTACTTAGAGTCCCCAAAATGTGTGTGTTCTTAGATTGGTTTTGAGTAATATACTGTATTTCAGCTATTTACCTGTAAGAACTATGATTTCCTCCTCCTCCTGCTGGAGGTGAAAGAAAATATTTTCAAGTTTTATGATTTTAATTCAAATTTTGTCTTCTCTACCATAGCCCTTTCTCTTTGCTGCCTGATAAGCCTTCTCCATTCTGTTTATCAAAGCAGAAGTTAACCTTCTCTTTATAGTACTAATTGCTAACATCTGAATTTCCTGAATTGCTAACACATTCCAGTCCTTAGAGTTTTGAGAGAAAAGATGATTTTACCATGATACAGAATTTGTACAGTTTTTCACTCTAACATACCACAGTAAAGTAATTATGAGCACCTATTATATAAAAAGTTGTGTTCTTCGGAAGAAAAATAAACATGGTTTCTATCCCTAAGAAGCTAAAGTTCTAATTTAATAGATAGCACATATATATATATACACATATATACATATATATATGTATATACATATATATACACATACACAGAGTTCTAATTCAATATATGCCATATATACACACACACACACATATGTATGTATATATATTATGTATTACAAGGTAATGTAAGCCTTTGTTGTTTTAAACACTGAGGAAAGAAGTCCACTTTCAAAAGAGGTAATTAGGAGAGGCTTCACAATGGACCTGGAACACTGTGAGGCCAGTAAGCATGTGTTTTATTTGAATGTTGTGTTTCCAGGATCTAGAATTGTCCTTGGCACATGATAAGGGTTTAATATGTTAAGTGAATGGATGAATTTGAGCTAAATCTAAGAGGATAGCTTTCATTTTGAAATATAGGAACTTTATTTAAAGTTAAAGGAATAGTAAATGGTAGAGAAGGAAAGGCATGTTCAGTTTTATAAAGGTTGCATGAGCTCTAGACTATGGTAATAAGAATATTATTTTAGGATGCAGTACAGGTTTGGGAAGATTTGTGTTCCACACAAGTAGTTTATGTTTAATTTGTTTGGAATTAAGGATTTTTTACAGGTCTGTAGGAATAGACATCATAAAACTATTGTTTTCAATAGACTATCACTACTGTAGTAGGAGGAAAGCCTGCAGATAGATTAGTAACGGTAGCTAAAGAAGTTGTAGCACAAATTTGTCAAAATAAAGTTAAAACTTGTATTGTTGAGTTATAGTTCTTCCTAAGGCTTTTAAGACTGAAGACGGTATAATGGTGACTTAATATTGCATATGGAAGATCTATTCTCTAGTACCACAGTGGTAAACTCTTTTAAGTAAACTGTCCCGAATTTATTTTTAGGGTAGCACTGCCTTGTATGGAATCGTGAACTAAATGGACTCTTCCATCTAGATTCCAATGTAATTCCTGTAATGAATGGTTTCATAGAGCAGACATAGAACCCTGTTATTTAAACTTGTAAAACTTAAAATGTAAGAGATTAATTTGGTTTTGAATTCATTTTCACTTGTTAAAACAGCTGGCCAAAGTTAACATGAATTTAACATGTGTATCATTGTCATGATTGAGAGGGAGAACCATTGCGTCAAGTAGAAGTTACTTAAGTCATTGAAATATAACAAGGTTAGCTTTTAATTATCCTGAGTAGAGAGGATATCAATAATAAAATTTATATTGTTGCTGTCATTGGTCAGTTTTAATAAGCTTTTAATATAACAATTAATTCCCAAATGTGTATTAGACTGCCCCAAAATTTGGGGAAACTTTCTTGTTAACAAAAGGCTCTGAATATTGGTCAAGGTCTAAAACTTGACTACAAGGGTCTAAAAACTTAACTGTTCGCTCTTACATTGGCTTACTGTTATAATACAACTGTGTTCTCAAAATAGAAAACCTATTTAGCAGTGACTAGGATTTGTAGTTAAATCCCACTATTAACACACATTCAAGTTTTATCATTAAAAATATGTATGTTTTTGCATTGAATTACTGCCACTTATTGCATAGTTGCAATACTTTTATCTTTACCCTATTCTTTGCTTCTTTCTATGAACTGCTACTTTGGTTCTGTAATCATCTAAGGGTCTCATTGAACCTTCTGGCTCTCTGTAGTTCTCTGCCATTGTGTCCTCACCCACACCTGCACTCCTCCTTTATGCCCACCTCTTATTTTTCTCAAGTTTGCACGTAATAATGATCCTTAGGTCAAAGGGAGAGGTTTATTGCATGGTTGTTCTCACTTTAATCATTATAGCCATGCTGTGTATGAGGTACAGCGGAGAAATTGAGATTCATTAAATTTGAATAAGTAGCCCAAGAAAATTTAAAGTGGTAGAGCCTGAATTCTAACCCATGTCTTTATTACCATGTCTGTGGTATCTGTTGCCTCTGTAAATAAGTTTTTCATGTCTGTAGATTTCAGTAAGATTTTAAGAACAGTGGATGATGTAACACAAGTGGAAGTTGTGAATGACTTAATGGGCTGCTCCTCCCTCTCTCTACCCATCCCCATGATATTTGCCACTTCAGATTAGTTACTAACCAGATGAATTTTTATTTGGTAGAATGTTAGAGCAATTTTTGAGCAGTGAATCTTTCTGAGTATCCTGTGCCACATAGGGCTGTACTGCCCTTGCTAATCACTCAACACTATGAAATTGTAGTGGATTAGATTTGGTGGGCTCTAAGTGGCGAAAATGGGTATCTAAATGCCTTCCTGCCTCCTTTTCTAGATAATCATATATAATTCACATCTTGCATGCTTACATTTCCCAACCTCTGTAACACTCAGTCATAAGTATTTTTCAAATCACATAACCCATTGAGTTCATAGACTTAACACCTAAAAATTTCAAGGTACACAAAGGAAATTTTTTGTAGAAATTAACTTTTAACTGTATACCTGATAGACTTGTTAAGAAAGAATCAGAAAGAAAGAAACTGCTACTTTTCCCACTTTTTAATTGATTGGGGTAAAAAAAAAAAACAACCTAGAGTTCTCAACAATTTATTGACTATATAACATTTTAGGAAGGACTGTAAAGTGAAAAGCTAGAATGAAAAACCCATGTACATCCTAGTATTTTTAAATTGCATCTATTAACATATATATTTATATGTCAGTATATATATGTATACATTTGTTAATATTATAGTGTAGATCTGTTCTTTCATATATATATTATAAAATAACAATTGAAATGAGGCTTATCAAGAATTCACAAACAATGCCATATATTAAGTTGTTATTCTTAACTACCCATGTACTGAATTTTATGACTGTGTTTATATTTTATATATAAGATGCAGGACTTTATTCCAAGTGCTCAACTGTATCCCTAACAATAGGCGATTTAGGATATTTATTTCCTAAATTCAGTTACTATGTTGTGTATACATTAGAGTAGCTTTCCTTTTAAAGTTATCTTTAAAAATTTTTAATTATGCTTTATCTCCCTGTAGAAATCAAAGGGAGGAGATTCTTATTCAAAAGTTAAAGAATTTGTATGTAATTGTATTTTCCCATCTGTGATATAGTCTGTCCTTGTAGGTATTGCTCCATCTCTGGAAGTCATTGAGATAGATGGCTACTTTAAGGAGTCCTAAAGAATGTGTAGTATATATCAACTGAGAGAATATGGAAGATCTTAAAGCATACAACTTTTAAACATGTAGTCTTTAATAGTCTTTGTTCCAGAAATGGAAGGATTGCCATTTTGAGCTAGCACAAATAACTTTCCATTCTGATTTGGGAAGCTTAAACATATTTGAGATTAAGAATTTAGAGCTATTTTATAAATTATCTAGATCAGGTTTGCCATTTTACAACCTTTTATCTTCAACTTCAAATTTGTTCATTCATTGAACAAATTAAGCTCTATTATATGCAAACCCCCTGATGAATAAGACACAATCTTTGTGCTGAAAGACTTCACAGGCTAGTAGGAGCGATAAGACCAGATCAGGAATAACTATAATATAGAATAGCATGTAACATATTAGCATGTGCGTAGTATAATTGAAATGATAAAGTTAGCTGTTGGAAGAAAGAGATCTTTTTTAGCTGTGAGGATCAGGGAGAACTTCTCTGACTAGAGACAGTTATATTGTATCTTAAAGGGTGATTTCTACAAAGAGGCATTACTGATTAATTCATTTGGATGTTAATAAAGGTCTGTAGATAACAATGGAAAGTTTAGCAAGTTATAAAATTAATTGTAGTGGAGGGTGGAAAGGAAAAATTTATTCTCATGTGAAAAGCACCCAGATAGAAGAATTCAGTGTGACTGTGATTTGGAAAAGGTGGTAGGAGGAGATGACATAGATTTGAAGTGGTTTGATGCGAGTAGACTGGTAGCACATCTTGGAAGTAAGCTTTGGAGTCAAAGAAAAATCAACTTGTGTTTCACTCTAATTTCTTAAGACTTGAGGAATACAAATCATGAGGAATGTGAAATTTTATAAGTGAATTGTGATGAGTGCTGGGTGATTAAAATAAAAACTTGAAAAAATCAGTTCTCAAAAAAGTGAAAAAAAGGGATTCGTTCTTTTTAAAGAGGATGAAAATTTTCAAACAAAGGGAGAAAGCAAGCAGTAGGAGAGTATATGAAAATTAAATATGGAGTAAACGAGTGAGTTTTCACACCAAGAAACTGGTCATTTCACAAAGTTGCTATGTGGACAGTAGGAGAGGCAGCTTGTTAAGACTAAATAAGGGGGGATATTTGAGAGTTTAAAGAACAAGTTAACCTATAGATTGGAGATCTTTGAAATACACAAGAGAATTGGATACAAGTGAAAGTTGAATACTATTACTATTTTGAAAATGCAGTTTCCCCCCACTATCTGAAAGCTTGAGTTATGCCACTTCACTTTTAGGAAAGAGCTCCGTTAGTACCTGTTTTCACTAACTGAAAGGAATGAAGGGGATTTTTACTTTTACAAAAAAAAAAAAAAAAAAATGTTACCATACGAATGTAGGTCTTTTATAAAAGCAGAGTGGCATAATGCAAACTTTTAGAAAACAGGGGATACCTGTACCTAGTGAAAATAACTAGACCAGGGCACCTAGGTGGTTCAGTGGGTTAAGCTGCTGCCTTCGGCTCAGGTCATGTGAAAATAACTAGACCAGGGCACCTAGGTGGTTCAGTGGGTTAAGCTGCTGCCTTCGGCTCAGGTCATGATCTCAGGGTTCTAAGATCAAGCCCCACATCTGGCTCTCTGCTCAGCGGGGAGGCTGCTTCCCCCTCTCTCTCTCTGCCTGCCTCTCTGCCTACTTGTGATCTCTCTCTGTGTCAAATAAATAAAATCTTTTTTTAAAAGAAAGAAAATAACTAGACGACACATTACTGCTTGTGTCTAAATTGACTTCATAGAAATCTTTCCATGGTGCCTTAAAGTACCTCATGCAGATATTTACTTCAGTCATAGGTAGTTACAGCAGATCATTTGTTTCTTCTTTACTGAGATTCTTTCTGGTGTTTTATAAAATAATAATCGTTTATTGAATGCTTTTACAGTTTCAAAAATTTTTACATTGAAGAATTTTTTATTTCATATATTATACACATATACATATACACACATTTAATACTATATTTCATTTAAATTTAATTTCAGCGTGTGGAGAAAAATTTCAAGAGTCTTGTGATGAGGGTTTCAGTGTTCTCATTTTACTAGATGATGAAACCAGGGTCCAGCTATGTTAAATGACTTGCCCAAGCATAACCTTATTTTTTAAGTCTTGAGTTTTTCTTAGATTTGAAAAAGCTTCTCTCTGGTGAAACAGTTGACAAAAGAGGTTTTGTTACTATTTTTTTTAACTCATTGTGGGTACTTACAAACTTGCCAAGTAAATCTAAAAATATAGTCTATGAGAGGGTAAGTGAATTGCTGCTGTTTTGCAGACTTTTTGAAGTTCCTTCTGTCTTACTGCAGTCCTTGATAATATCATACTGCAAGGCTGTGACTAATTCACGAACTGGATATTTCCTATTGGAATAATTGAGTGTTATCTTCTCTTTATGATTTAGTGTCTACTCTAGGTGAATTCAATTTAAAATAAATTGATTTAAATTCCAATTTAAATCAGTAGTCAAGAAAATATCATTTAATCATTTTCCCCACAAAAAGCACATTTTTAATTTAACCTAATAAATATTCTCTTTTGTGTATGTGTGTATATGTTAGTCACCATATAGTACATCATTAGTTTTTGATGTCAGTGTTCCATGATTCACTATTTACGTATAACGCCCAGTGCTCCATGCAATCCATGCCCTCCTTAATACCCATCACTGGGCACACCCATCCCCCCTTCTAAAACCCTCTGTTTGTTTCCCCAAGTCCATAGTCTCCATAGTCTCCCACTCTGATTTCTCTTCCTTCATTTTTCCCTTCTCCTAATATCCTCCATGCTATTCTCTCTTAAACTCACTTTTCACTTTCCTAGATGGATATTCTATATATTTCAATGCAGTACTTTATTTAAAATTTTTCAGATTAATTTTGAAGTTATATCAGAAACTAAATGATTTGGTTGTTTTATTTATATAAGGCAAATGAATGTCATACCACTGCAGTTATCTCTTGCTCAGCTGCTTATTGGTGGGTATTTGAGAGCCATTTGGCCTATACTACCTATCTGTATTTTACTGAGCAGTTTATTTTATTTGACTTTAAAGTGTATTTATTTGTGCCTTTTTCTTTCCGATACACAGTTTTTAAATAAAATGAAAATCATATTTTTCAAAGAAATAACTTCAAATATAAACAAGTGAAAGTTTTGGAAAGAATCTAGCTAGTATCTAGGTCAGAATCTAGATGAGTATGAGAAATTTTAAATATTGGATTAGGCCCCAGACTATTTTCTTTCCCTAGGAGTCTTTTTGACTAGGATTTCCAACCAGTAGATCAGAAATGCACTATAAGAGCTTCAGACTGAAAGTTGTCCCTACTGTTGGTTCTCTTCCCTTTTTCAGAATTCCTAAAAGGGAACAGGGAATCCACCAACAGAATGTATAGCCCCTTCCTCACCAAGGGGCTAAAATACCTGCTTTAAGTCAAATCACAGCTGGTTCTTTTTGAACAGGATCTTTTCTTTCATTGCTTCAAATAATCAAATAATCTTTAAAGAGACTTGAGCTCCTAATAGAAGTTTGTGGTTCATTTACAAAATGATTTGTAAAGATTTCATGATCCCTTTATCTCAGATCAAAGGTCAGCAAACTTTTTCTGGAAAAGACTAGATGGTAAGCATTTTATACTTTGTGGCCAAGAGGCAAAATTGAGGATATAATGGACATACTTACAGCTAAGAGAAAACAAAAAGATCACAAATTTTTGTTGACAAAATTCAATATAGAATATTAGTAATTAGAAATAGTTTTTCAAATACAGGTCTACCAATGAGAAGAATGGAATTTTTGGTGGGGAGGACATGATTCTTTGCTTAATTCATGTTCAGAGTTAGTGTTCTCTGTCACCAAGTAATGATTGCAAGTGTTCATCTATGAAAACCATTCTTAGCTCATAGGTTGTATAAAAACATATGGGAGACCAGATTTAGCCATAGTTTGCTGACCCTATATGAGATTATAAATTACTGCTCTTCTGTGTTGCTTTTGAGCTTGATGAAAAATCAGTGCTTTACTTATGTAATCCTTTTGGACATAAAGCATTCAAAGAGAAATTGGTTGGCTTTAAGGGTTTCAGTATAAGTTTTACTTTATTATTCTGATGGGGAAATAGAAGTCTTGCCTCTCATTGTTATTCTAGTGAATGTCTAGTCTTTTGAGAATTTGTTGTTTTCTGGTGGAGGAAAAATTAGGTCCATAATATGTAATCTCAAGGACATAGTATAACATAATTTTAAGTATTCTAGATATTACATATAATAGGAAATGGATAAATACCTTTTTTATATTTAAAAAATTCTATATTCACCTCATCCCACTTAATTTTTTTTTTTTTGGCTTAACAGGAAAAAGAAGGCAAATTAAATTTCCTAAAATGGCTAATATTTTAGCAGTTGTAAGAATGATGATGATTTCTGTTCCTTTAACAAAGGTTTTAAAATGACTGAACATGATATTTATGCAGTTGTGTAGTTAACACGCAAGCTCACAAGCTACTCACAACTGATTTTTGTTGTTGTTGTTGTTTTTTTATTTTTCTAGGGCTTCTGTCTGTGTAAGGTATATTCATTCCTCAGTAATGAAACTTAGTATATACCATATGGCAGCCTTGTTCCTAATGTGAATTATACACAGCATGCGATTAACCATCCTCTGGTATGAGACTTATATCTCCTGTGGCATTCACTAACACGTCTGTCTGATGGTGTGATGTTTTAGGACTTGAATATTTGGTGTTTCTTGGTTTGTTTTAATTTCATATTTTCACACAAGCTTGGTCTGTTTACCTTTATTTTTGTGTCCTTTCTTTCTATGTTCTCCCCACCTCTCTGCTTCACCTTTCTTAGCAAAGATGAGGATTTCTACCTTCAACATACATTGTTGGTCTTGTCTTCTGTTTTTGTTAGGAGGGACAGCAGTGTGATAAAAGAGGAAATCAAAGCCTTTCTTGCCAATCGGAGGATTTCCCAAGCAGTTGTTGCACAGGTTACAGGTAAGAGCTGAAGAGCCCTTTATTCTGGAATCATGTCTAGTCTCTGCCTTCTGGTGCAGATGTTGGAATATTGCTTGCATTTCTGCATTGCAGTGCAGACCTGTCAACTTAGGCATAATAATGTATGCCTGTGATTTAAAACCCATTGTCTCTGGTATCATGGAACTTCTCCAGTGATTTTTTTTTTTTTTTTAACTTGTGCTAGTAAATTTTATAGCATTTGTGATAAGCACAAAATTCCCCATTTTATGGCTAAAAAAGGGTTCTGTGGTTTTCTTTAATTGTGACAAAGCTCATGACACACGCACATCCAACTGCTATCTGCATTTCATATTTTTAAAAGCTTTACGGTCCTCCTAATTCCTGATTTTACCAATTAAAAAATGATTCATGAGAGTAAAGGAAGTTGTTTGTTTTTTTTTTAAACCACCTTTCTCTATGTGAAAGCTTTCCTCAAAGCATTACTGAGAAGATAAGAGTTATCATGGTTTCTCTTTGTTCTTTATATCTCATCCCATTACCCATCCCACCACAGCCCCATCTTCAGTATGTGGTGTATATGTGTCATTCTTTATTCAGATTGCGTTTTTTTATGGAGTTCTTAAACTCTGGGGTAGAATGTCGTCTTTGTTGGGATGTAGTCTTCCCTTCTTGGATATCAGTGGTTTATAAGACCTTAATAAAATCAACTATGCCCTAGTCATGAGAGGAACCAGAAACTCTTTTAACTACGTTTTGTAGTTGATATTGTTGTATGTTGTCCATTAATAGATAGGAAAATTATATTTTTCCTCCTCCCACCCTTTTATAACATGCCATTAGCAGCTGTGTGACTTTGGGCTTTTTAGCCTCTGCATCTCAGTTTCTTACTTCTACAATGAAATAGTTGGATCTGATCATACAGTACCTTCCAGTTTTAAGATATCATTTCTGTTCTCTAGACATCGATATATATTGAAGCTAATTTACCTAAAAGGTTGTTATTGACCATAAATATGGTTAAAGATGAAACTTGAGACCTCAGGAGTCTTAAATTTCATCCCAAGAATCTAAGGTCAACCAATCTTAATACATGTATGTGTGTATAATATATAACACTAGTAATATATTTTTATAAATGATGCCTCTGTTCATGGTAAAAGATTTTAATAAAAGGCATACCCTTCCATTTAGAAATCTTAAACAGGGGGATGGTGTGTGAATTTAATTTTTATAATTTTCAATAGAATATTTAAAATAAATTCTTACCTTTATCTCCAAGGATTAAGGAAGATGCTAATGGGACTATAAGGGCAAGTTAAGTGAGTTTTACCAAAATCCAATGATGGGCACTATGAAAAGATGGAGTGTTGTCTTTAGGACTTTTACTTTGCCTCCAAGATTAGAAGCAATAGTATCTTCTAGTTTGCCAGCCTACAGAAAAGAACAAAATTGTAGTGTTAGAGAACAGTATTATAGAGTTTATTTTTTTTTTCCAGGTGGAAATATTTCTCAGCATCTTGAATACTCTGAATCTTGAATCATCTTGGACTTTTAAAATAGTAGCTTTTAAACCCACCTGACTTTGATGTAAATTATAATAAAGTACCTTTAAATGGAATTTCTTAGGAATAAAAAGGATTAGCTATACAATAGTGGATTAAACATAGTAGCCTTGCCTTTTTGGAAAGGGAGAATGAAAGATGTTTCAGCATCTTGCTATTCAAAGTGTAGTCCATGGAAGAGCTAATTTGGAGCTTGTTAGAAATGTAAAGATACAGAGTACCACTCTACATGTACTGAATCAGAATTTACATTTTAATCAGATCCCCAGGTAATTTGGGTTTGAGAAGTACTATTCTAGGACATTGGTAAGCTTTCCTGACATTAACTTCAATGGACTGGCATAGTTTTAACATTGTCCCACTCAGTAAGAGTTATCATGATGCCATCTCCTGTTTTTGAAAATATCTGTTTATCACATGGACCTTTCTTTTGCTGCTGTAACCATAGGATTTGATGCTGTTAAAAACTTCTTTCCCCATTTCAACCTCAGTCCAACTCATTCTTCCTCCTCTTCATTCCTGCTTGAAAGGCTTGGGTGCATTTTTCCTTGGTCATATATCTTTGATAGTTCTCCATTGTCTGAAAAATGAAACTCCTTATAGTCTGGCACCAGCCTCCTTTTTATTGTCATCTTCTATTCACTATTCTCCTTAGCTAAATTTAGGTCCTTGCCATTTTCAGAATTCTCCTCGCTTGGATCCTTACAAATTGTTTGTGCCTAGGATGCCTTTCCCCTTCTCACCTTAGCCTTATAAAATTGTGTTTATGAAGATTAGCTGTTATTATCCTCATTCTGACTTCTCTGATCACTTTGGCTCTTGTAGGCTTCTCTTTTTTTCTAAAATCAGTTACACTAAGTTCACCATGCTTAGATACTAAACCTCATTTCAGTTATGCATTTGTTTATGCATTTAGAGTTCTTTAAATGCCGTGATCTTTCCTTTTTTTTTTTTTTTTTTAGATTTATTTATTTATTTGACAGAAATCACAAGGAGGCAGAGAGGCAGGCAGAGAGAGAGGAGGAAGCAGGCTCCCCGCTGAGCAGAGAGCCCGATGTGGGGCTCAATCCCAGGACCCTGGGATCATGACCTGAGCCGAAGGCAGAGGCTTTAACCCACTGAGCCACCCAGGCGCCCCTGCCGTGATCTTTCTTATATATCCTGAGAGTCTAGCATTATACGTGCTCTCTGAAGATTTCGTATTTACCTATCTACCTTGTAGTGCTGTCTTGTAGGGTAAAGGGAATTTTAGTGAAGCTAACACAAGCTATGCATATGAAAATTTATCCAGTGACTTTGTCCAGTGACGTTCCCTCTCCAAAAATAATTATTTATTTGCTCCAAAAGTGCAGCATGAGTTTCTGCCCTTAAGGAATCCCATTTTTTTCTCTTATCTGCTTTAATTGAATTATTTACATAAGGCAGGGGAGTAGGGATGATTTACAACCTCATTGCTTCATTGTCCCATTGATCAACTTGGTGAATTCATGTATTTCTCATGTATTATTGTGTTATGCTTTCACCCGGCCCATCCAGCCGTCAAGCTAGACTCAGGGACTCAGGGACAGGGCTTTTCATTCTAGAAAAGAGATCCAGTTACAGAATAGTGAGTTGGTGAGAACCAGTATAAAGCCTGGCTCTCATGACTGGCATGCCTGGCATAGGTAGCCTATGTAAGGAAGCCTTTTAGCATTTAGGACTAACTCGTTATAGGTACCTGATCTCAGTATATAGGCACTTTTTTATCTTTAAACAAATTAGTCCAGTGTATCTTAGAGGAATGTCTACCTGATGAAATCTACCCCAAAATAAAGTTTAAGATGTGGCGTTCCAGAATCTTTGTCCTATAATGGAGTCTTAAAAAGTTAAGTACAGGGGCACCTGGGTGACTCAGTGGGTTAAATAAAATAAAGGTCATGATCTCAGGGTCCTGGGATTGAGCCCCGCACTGGGCTCTCTGCTCAGCGGGGAGCCTACTTACCCCCCTCTCTCTCTGCCTGCCTCTCTGCCTACTTGTGATCTCTGTCTGTCAAACAAACAAACAAACAAACAAATAAATAAATAAAAGTTAAGTTCAACTCTACTATGCGAAATAATGAAATAAATCAACCTTGAGATAAAAATGAGAACAAGCATAACAAAAGAAAATGCTAAATAAAAAAAATGTAGTGAGGTGCAAAATTATAGCACATGTGCTTGTTCCAGAAACAAATACAGAGGCTTCTTTTTATAGATTTGGAGGATTTCTATAATAAGATAAACAAGAAGTTCATGGGTGGGGTCTGTATAAATAATATCCTACTGATAGGAAAAATGACAGTATAAACAGGATATAATAACAGTGCCTGCTGAATTTCCCAGCATGTTATTTGTAGCTTCTTTCACAGAGTCACAGCTGCTCCCACCAAGGGTAGATTTTTACCTCTGTTAGAGGTCGAGCAGGATTCTAAATTCTGACTAACAATGGTGGGATGGGGAGCATAGCCCTTGCTTTAGTAATAACCCACACGTGGGTTTTATATTCACTTTCATGGTAAAACATTTTCTTTGGCTCTTAGAATTACTAAAATATGGTTTTCTTTTTAAATGACCTCTGGGAAAAATCAAGGAGGCAGAATAAATGAGTAAGTGGGCAGAGCATGAGTGAGTGCTTATCAGCCAAAAAATACACTGATTGGATTCATATCCTCTTAAAATGGATGAAGAAGAAAAAATTTACATCTCTGAACTTTAAGAAATATAACACAATTTTGTTTTCTTGAGTGATAGTAGTGTAATGAAAAAGCAACCACGAAACTTTAGAATACCAAAGTTCTAGTCCTTCTGTCTTAAATAGCCTTGGGGTCCTGGGAAGAATTATGTGGCTTCTCTGAGCCTCATTTTCCTATTTATAAGATGAGAGGCTTTGACCAAGTATTTCCAAGAATCTTTTTGAGTTATCAAATTCTATCCTGTTTTTTGTTTTTTAAAGATTTATTTATTTGTTTGAAAGAGAGAGAGAGCATATGAGTGGGAAAAGGGGCAGAGGAAGAGAATATCCAAGCAGACTCCCTCTGAGCTTGGAACCCAGCACAGGACTGGATCCCTTGACCCATGAGATCAGGACCTGAGGCAAAACCAGGAGTTGGCACTCAACCAACTGAGCCACCCAGGCGCCCCAAATTCTATTCTGTTTTTAAACAAAGTTCACTTAACCAGTGTGCGTCTTACCGTCTCATTCCCAAAATGTAAGAATTTGTATAGAGAAAGCTCTGAACCAGTTTTAGAAATGTTCCAACTGTACTTAGATCACTTCCCTTTTTTAAATTTATGTTTAAAATGAAGTTTGAAAACACTGCATATTCAATCTAATTATAATAATTTCTTTACAGAGATAGGTATATATTGATCCTGTCCCTAAATGGAGAACTTCAGACCAGATACTAAAAACCAACTAAAGTGTCAGTATACCTTTTT